TTACAAAAGCAATACATCCACGTCCCAGCGCTCGAAAATCTCCGCTAGCTCTGTGAATTATGTCAGTCTTTGGTGTAATTATTCTTGATACATGCGAACAATACACAACCAAGGATCCCTTTCATTGAGGGTTCTCTCAAATTGAAGGATCTCGGCCGGTTAGCGACGAGACCACGTAGGGCTCACCGGGTGGCGGATATAGGGGAGTAAATCGCCGACCAGAAGTCGCCGGTACTATAATAGTTAGACGGGACACAGGTGGATTCAGCGGATCGACTCCCTGTTTGTATTGTGCTGGTCAATATACCTTCTATTTATCGCAGGTGTATTCAAGCATACGCGTGTGGGGAGTCTGCAGGTGCAGTTGGTATCTGCCCATTGACCCAGCCAAAAGCGTGCATTCGAGTGAATAAGAAGTACCTAACAGGCGATTGCCTTTCCTCAAAAACAAAGCCCTCATCCACTTCGGGATAGCCTGGCTAGCAACCGGAGTCAACAGCCCAACGTCAGAGCCTGGCAAGCTACTCGTACCTGCACCTGCCAAAAACAGTAATATGTATAAATGGGCCCCATTTCCCTGAACCTGAGGTAGCTCCCGATACGGCAGTGTTGGGTAGTACCGCTCGGGAGAGGCTGCTAAAATCTAAGGGTCAAAAGTGGAAGGCCAAAAAGAGAAGGACTAAGATGGGGTTCTGTATTTTCAACGCACGGACGCTTGCATTGGAAGCGTGTATAGGAGACCTGATGATGCAAGCCAGGAGACCAAGTACGATCTCGTCGGAATGACCGAGATGAGAAAGCATCCGTTTTTGACAACACCGATGAAGAATACAACCGGCTTCCCGAACATCTTCACGATAGCGCTAAGAAAGCAGAGAGCCTACAAGTAGATAAAAGACGACTTTCTTCGGAGACTCTCAAGCTGGCGTATCAGCGCGGGATTCCACGCTGATACGCCAGCGCGGAATCGCGCGGGCTACAGGCAATCATCAACAAACGTCCGAACTTGCGAAGGTATGCAGAGAAGCGATAGAGAAAGATCTGAAAGAGAGAAGAGCAGCAGTTATGGACGAAGCCGCCAAGACTGGAAAGAGCATTCGCAAAGCCCGACGGAGCTTCGCCAATTACAAGACCAAGATGACTTCCCTTCGTTGTCCCGACGGAACAGTTACTGCATCTCGAAGGGCAGTGAAGAAGATCATCTACGTCTTTTACTCGGATCTCTTCGATAGCCACGTCTACCAGCCTACCCAACATCTTGGGCAAGACGAATATATCGCTCCTCCGGCTCTCCTTTCCGAAATACGGTATGCCATCCCGTCGATGAAGAACTGTACGACGCCCGGTACCGAAGGATCAAACCAGAACATCTGAATAGTCTTCCACCATTTATCGTCAGAACTCTTGCTAGGCTCTTCACGCGGTACCTGCCGAAATGCAAGTGCTCACGTCGCGTAAAACTAGCAAGACTGTGTTGCTGCACAAGAAGGGAGATCCAGACGATATTAGCAATTATCGCCCAATCTGCCTGCTGTCTGTAATCTACAAGCTTTTCAAATTTTCACACATATCACACGTCAACCAGTACGGGATTGACAGAATATTAGATGAAGTACAGCCGTGCGTGCAAGCAGGGTTTCGAAGAGAGTTTAATCGACCATATCCATACGCTTACAAGGCTCATTGAAGTATCACGAGAGTACAAAATGGCTTATGCCTTAGGTTCATCGATTTGGAGACGGCATTTGATGCTGTCGAGACAGAAGCGGTAGTTGAAGCCTTGGGTAACTAGGTGTTAATACTCGATACACAAGGATATTTGAATTCTCGTGTAAGGATATGGTAGCCGCCGCGGAACTGCCGTGGAAATTCGGAGAGAACTACCGCCACCGGTATAAACCGAAGTATTCGTAAAGCTTGGAAAATGTTTCCACGCGCTCTCGTTCAAAACTCAATTGTATTAGAACGATTTTTCTCCCATCAAAGTGGAGTTGGCAACGAGATTACGCAGTGTTGTCACTATTCACATAATGTTAATTATTATAAGTAATTAAGGAGACATTAGCCGCGCTCATACCGTCGGTGTTTTTTTTTTGTCGACGTCGGTGCTAAAACGCCGAGTTCGGCGCCAACCATGGTTTAACACCACACAAATCGACAACACAGAAGAAGTAGATGAAAAGGAATGAATTGGGTTTTAACCACTTTTCCGAGGTGAGAAGAGTGGGCATGATCTTAGAAAGCATTCTTGCAGAATGGAAGAGAATAGTCTCTCTGAAAAAGAAAATAAAAGAAGTCGTGAAATGCTTTGTAACAACGCATAGCTGTCTGGGTATCTTTCATGGGAACGCACAATTTTCTCGATTTTGCGCTGACGCTAACATTTTTCCGCCGCCGTCGCACTATGAATGCGACCAATTAGGTGAAAATTTACTTGAGGGGAGGGTGCTTTCTACTGTGCCTTGCGACTCCAATCTAAGCACATGTGCTTTGAGAAAAATGAGTCGCCAACTTTGCAGACCTGTAACTTGTACTGGTGCTTTGAAACATTTTATAGCCAGATGATGTGTTTTTGCCTGAGCGTGAGAGGGATACACGCACTGGGGTGGCAGAGATGCTGAAAGCCTGCTGAATCCAGCAATTGTTATTCAAATGTGTGAAGGGTAGCATCTTCGGCTATTGTCCCGCCTACTATATAGGTTGGTCTACCCCGAACTCGAACGCACAGCAGTAATATGCTGGAACATTAGCTTTAAATGAGCGTACGGTGATACCCAACGATAATCGAGTACTCTTTCTGAGGGAACTGCAACATCATACCATGCTTCGTGAGTCCAGTTGACCTCAAACTTTTCCACAGCAGTAACACCTTCACGTTTTGTAAGCCCAACATCCTGCTGGGAATGTCGATGTTGGGCTAGTTTTAGCTGTGTATGAGC